CGGAGTGGACCTAACCATTTGAAACAATTTAGGTCAACTTGTACTGAATTCATTGAGACATGATGTCTACCTTGGAGGAAAAAGTTATCTCTTATTTGGAACGCAAACAGTAACGTAGTATGAGAGAAAAATTAGTGTTTAGTCATATAATTAACTATATGGATCTCGGAATTCTCTGACACTTGTTATATCAATGCTTCATAAACCAAGAATTGGGCCTACTTTCAGTATTGTAATTTGTAATCACTAGGTCCTTTAGCAAGTGAGTGCACAAGTATGTCCATAGTGCCTAAATCATTCTTGACAGATTCAGCAACTTCCTACAAGGTAAAACAGATCACAGTAGATTAAGTATAGCTAGTCTTACTTAAACACAAACTGAGACATATCACAAAGTAAATGCTAATCAACAAACCATCCAATGTTTTTACCAACCATCTTCTAGAATTCATCTCCATTATGAAAAATTAATAAAGAAAAAAAAATACAAAAAGACATTTTTTGCATATGCCAACATGGGTACAGTAGAGAGATCAATCACTTATTGAGACTTTGTACTGTGGGCTATTTCTGCACAGATACTAATACAGTAGAGAACCTGTTTAATGAGGCTTTCCATGTAAGCCAAAAAATTGTGTATAGTCTGAAACATCTGGATTCTGATCACGACCATGCTAACAAATTTACCTCATGGAATCTTGAGGTTGTCCATGCAGTGATGAAAACAAAATATAGGGAATTCAGTGCTGACTTCCCAAGAATCATGTGTTACAACATCAGTATCACTTGCTTTGCTTTTTGGCTTCAATATAAAGCACAACATCAATTATAGCGCAGTAATTAAATTTTACATATGCTACACCTCAAAGCAGACATTTCATTGTTATCAGACAAATTTGGCAGAGTCAGAAGTGGTAGAAACCTTAGAATGAAAACAGCTAGTGCCTAGTCTGCAGAATTATTCTGCAGAAGGCCTGAGATTATGGCACAAGGTCAAAACCATTATTTTAAATTCAACTTCTCTATAATTTGCAGTTAAACAAGTAGCATATAAACAACCAAAAATAAGAAGCAAAAACACTACACACCTGGGAACACAATGAGCAAAGAGACTCAAAGTCTCGAACAAAACTATATCAGGAATACAGAGCATGAATGAATACTTCTGCTCCACAAACAAAACTCTTAAGTTGTAAATCTCAGACAGAGATCACTCAGGTAAAATTCAAACACAACATGAAATTTCCGAACGAATAGATAAAAAGAGTCATCAATTCATACATAAATTTTGGATTAAGGCTTGAATCAAAGGAAAGAGATGGTTTATGTTCTCACTCAAAGAGGCAAAGGAAAATGCTCTCACTCATGGGCTCTTCTCACACAATCTAGTTTTGGATGACTAAAGGGAAATCCGATTTTGGAAAGTGGATTTACAAAGCTAATCTGATCCAAAAAATATTTTAGGCCAAAAACCAGTTTATTAATGTTGAAGTTTTTAAAACCAGTTTGAAATTGGTTATGGATTTAACTTGAAGAACCAGATTTTTTGCCCAGCCCTAATAATAACAACTAGATTTAGACCTATGACATTACAAGTTTGCCTAGGGTCATAATTCTCTTTTACTATGACCAACCATTGTTGGGTTCATTATGCTTAATGTTGAGTGAAGAAAATCAACTATTGGTAGGAAAAAATAAGATAAAATCCCTGTGATTGAATAATTAATGACAACTACAATAAGAATCAAGTTTTATCCCACTAAGTGAGGTCTATTACATGGATCACACGGCGTCTGTGAGCTCAATCAATTGAAAATTAATGAAAGAGGAAACAATATTTAGTCAATTTGATTTGATATAAAAGTTCAAAACACAAGTCAATATGAGTGAAGAAAATCAACTATTGGTAGGAAAAAATAAGATAAAATCCCTGTGATTGAATAATTAATGACAACTACAACAAGAATCAAGTTTTATCCGACTAAGTGAGGTCTATTACATGGATCACACAGCGTCGTTGAGCTCAATCAATTGAAAATTAATGAAAGAGGAAAATGATATTTAGTCAATTTGATTTGATATAAAAGTTCAAAACACAAGTCAATATGAAAAAACACATCTGCATGAGAAGAGTACACTTAGAGGTCATCTCATTTTCAAAGATGGATTAGAGTACATCTACACTACAGATACACCCAACATCACATTTGTTCTCCATTTATTGGGGACATAAAATTGGTCCTTCAACAGCAATTAATGAAAAACAATTTTGGTGTTTTAAGGACCAATTTAAAGGCATCAATTGACATTGAAGGACCATAAACATATTTATGAATGTAGGGCCAAAATGAGCTAGTAATCAAAGAATTGAAAAGGACAAGGCTTTAGAGATTTAAAATAATTGATTTGACCTTATTTAATATTTTAAACTTTGAGAACTACTTTGAGAATGACATAAAAAAACAGAGTACAACTGATTCCTAACACACTAGAATACAAAGAAAAGTGAATGAACAAAAGAATGTGAATCTTTAATTGATTAGATTCCAATTCACCATCCCAGTATAGGAGTGATACTCAAATTGAGTGCTGGAACAAAGAATACAGAATACCACTCAATCCAAGCTCTTCAAGTAGCTCCCATCTCATTATCTGTCGCAGATGACAAGCTATTTGCTCAAATTTCCACCTCCCTATTTAAATTATTCTGTTATACCAATTGACAGCTACTACCCCATTACATTCGTTAGAATAGAGCAACAATAACAAAGTCTTATCACACTTAGTGAAATCGGATATATAGATCATGCAACACAATTGGGCTTGGTGAAAACCTAAATTTTCAGAGAAATTATTTATCTTGACAATACATTTGTTATTACATGGAAATATCTAGAAATATCTCATCATATCTCAGATTATCCTCTAGAATTAATTTCCCTATTTCCCCATTATCTCTTAGGATTAATTTCCATATTTCCTTATTTTATCATGATTTATTTCCTGAATTATTTGAGATTATGATTAGTATATACAAGGATTAGTGCTCTAGGATTTATGAACGTCCCATCACATAATAATGCATCGAAGTAAATATAATTTTTTCATTCTCTTTTACCTCCCTCCCTCCCTCCCTTTATACATAGAGCACTATAATTTTAGTATGGTATTAGAGCAGTACCATCCTCCATAACCTGTCGCATCACTATTCTACTGTCAAGCTCCCTAAAAGTCTAAGTTCTACTTAAATTTCATGATATTTCCTTCAAATTCATCATCCTGTCTCGTACCCTTGTTTTTTGTTTTGGGAGGTATTGGTACCCTGTAGTGGAGATTAATATTTAATCACACACCTCTCTTACTTGAACTATATTACATTTTATCTATAATTCAATTAAATGAGGGCCTTGGGACAATAGCAAGAGTTGCTACTGTAAAACTAGGTAACATGTTAATGTCATGGAATCAGCCACTTGGAAATGCAAGGATGGCTGCCTCAATAAACCCACCAAAGGTTGAACCATGTCCTGGACCCCACCATAGCAGAAACTTTGTAGCACTGAGTTGTCCTTTTTTGTAATTCAATCAAATGGAACAAAGCTAAATATTAGCCACTAGTTGCTAAGGGTGCTGGTACTCTCTCAACAACAACGGGTACCAAAGGAATCTCTGTCCTTCTATTATTCAAAAGGAATAAATGAAAAGGAACATGTCTTCATAAATTAAAACATCCAACCTCCCCCAAAAGGAAAGGTTAAATGATCTCATGTATATGCGTAGTTCAGGTACCCAAACAAATAGCAAAATAACGTGTATGTGTGAGTCTACATGTATAGATACATCAGAACATTAAAATTAATATACAAATAATAATTTCAGAAGTTAGGATTACTAGTACAATCGGGGGCATCTTTCAGAGAATCAGAAGTATATCACCACCAGAGACAACCCAGTAAAAGCCCACCGTTCACCAAAGGAATGAAACCCCAGTATTTAATGATTCACATCATTTTGTGAATCTGTTTTGTAAGGAACAAAAATTAGTGTCAACCAGTCTTAATTCACTCCAAAAAGGTATCAAGAATATGATGGTAAGCCAAACAACATATAAGACTAGCAGATGAACATGCTTCATCAGCTAGGGTATTAGAATAAGAACAAACATCATATTTTCTTTCCCAAAGACATGACAGTCCGGTCCTGTGGACTGTGCTAAGTACTCACATAAGACAATGCGAGTTACAGCTCCTGTGCCAAAAATATCAGTGGAAAGATTCCATTTACTGAAACCTAGATCAAAATCATAAGTCTCTCAATATAAGAAATTGAATTATTTATTACTAGATATATACTAACAAATTCTTTGTCAACTATCAAGACTAACTCTTAAATCAACAATAGTATAGTGACTGTAATTTATACCATTTCTTGACTAGCCCGTGAAATCTCAGAGGATTAATAGCACATAAAAGCTTTCAGTAGAACAAAAATTAGGTCCAAGGAAGAATCAATTACAGTAGTAATTAAACATAAGAATAAACAATTATTACATATACATTTCTCTCATTTAAAAGATGAATAATTTTCAAATATTTTTTCTTGCAATGATTCTCGGCATACTTAACAATTAGTTTTGGGCATCTATTATCAATTTTATAACCATAAATGATGAAATATAAATTTTAGATAAAATTTCAAAGCTAATAATGACATTTAAAATTTTAATTATAAATGATCAATAAGATGTTCAAAACTAATTATTGATCATTTTAAAAGTTGTAAAACAATTAAACTATCATTAAAAAACATTCATAATTATTTATTACCATTGTTATATATATACATTAGTTTAACTGTTTCCAATTGTTATATATAAGCATCTCATAAGATTATGTAATTTACTCTTATTTTTCTTAAATTTTCATTGTCATGTCATTCCTAAGATTATTCTTCTATGAACAATTGGAAATCAAAAGAAAAAGGGTAAGCAGCATCTTTCACAATTCCAGTTGTTACTAGTTAAATTGCCAATAAGAATGAAGAATAAATCCTCAAGTATTCAAATTTAATTGTCCAGGAATATCATCAGATACATTTTCCGTGGCCTTAACACTACAAAACTGACATGAAAGATTAGAAGGTTTCAAATGTAAGCATTGATCAATTCGATTCTCCAACCAAGCAAGCCTTCTCTCAAGTTTCAACACACCAATATGCAAAATCCGAATGTCAACTTGTGCAATCCTGGCACAAGCCCGAAGCAAAATGTAATAATCAGCATGAGCAACATAGGTCAGGGCACCTTCATCTCTCTTCCGCACATAGTGAATGTAATCAAGTTTTTTCAGCTTAACACTAGGTGGTATATAACAAAACCTGTTCTCCTCCATGTCTAATTTCATCTGTCTAATGGCTTCCTTGGCATGAGATTTTCCTGAACTGTGCTCATGGGAATCTGAGTCTTCACTGTTTTGCAAACTCTCATAGGAACAACCATCACCCACACTTCCAGACAAGTCATCTTCAAGGCAGGTGCCATCATTAGGAGAGGGTTCATTAGAACTTTCTTTTCTAATCTTTGCCTCAGATGCCCTGCTAATGCATCCTTTTTCCCGTGACATTGTTTGGTTCAAAGAAGTATTAGATTGCTCAACATGTTCTGATGGTTTAATATTCTGAAATAATAATTAAAAAAAAAGTATCATAATACAAGAATTGATATAGACAGTCATTATTCATAGTGTAGTCAGACAGAAAAAACAATTCCATGGAAACTAGACACTACAAGGCAGACAGACAAGAATTTAAATAAATAATTTTATTTAATAAAATTTTCCCTAGATACTTATTGAAGATGATGGAAAATAAAACTTTATATCAATATAAAAAAAGTTATTTGGAAGAAAATATTCAAAAAGGAGATCTTAATTATCATTAGCTCCATAAAGTTTGCAATTACTACGTAAGCATATAAAACTATTTCACTGACTAATTACATGTGAATGTACATCCCTTTACTGCTTCCAATTACATATGTTCTATTAGAGAACAACAAACCTGCACAGATTGAAGATAGTAATAGTGAAATATCACACACGCAGTTGACCCACGAATAATTAAGCCTTACATAGATACAAGAATCATATACAGGCATGTCATGATTTTGATTGGCGAAACCATGTAAATCTATATGTAAATCTATATTTAAGGGAAAAGTAAAATATTGTCTTCTTGATCAATTTCATCAAATAAACATTTAACATATTTAAAGATAGATAAATGACTGGCACTTAATTTATGCATTTTGAGCCCCCTCATTTTGCAAGAAAAAGAAAAGAAATCCCTATCTTTATTCTATTTTGTTGAAATTTGATTTCAGGAAATAAATCTGTGCAGAAAAGTTGTTCTTTCATGGTATTTTCCTGAATTTTAATGTCCTTTAGAAAATAGTTATGTAGCCAATTTATTTTTCAAGTCTTACTGGTAAAGAAATTGATAATTTAGAACAGTCAAGCCATGTCCCATAGACAAAAAATGGGCTACCTCTTTCTTGACTCATCCCTAGAAAGAAAAAAAGTTGGGATTTGAAACTAATGTCAAGATAATCTATTTTAAAGGCCTGTACCATGCCAATAGAATGACTTGTTCAAGTCTTTAATTACCTCATTCTGATAAAAATTCCATAGGTATTGTATCATATTTTCTTCCTCATGATTCCCATAAGATGGTTCTGATCCAGCAAAGACAACATCCCTACAGTATTTGAGATATGTTGGCAAGTCCTTGGAATACCCTGTCCATAAATAGTGGATGTTAGATAGTCATTTGATTGTTGTAAAAAGTAGGAGGAAACAAAATATGAACTCATGCAGCGTAAGTTCAATAGGATAATAATATAAGTAAACAAAAACATCACCATAGGTATCTGCAATCTCATTATATCTTGCTTGAAGGTGTTGGAGAAGACCAACAGAATCCAATTCGTGTTTTCGAGATCCAACGGGATCTTCAGCTGAGTCTTTACCTAAATCAGGTTCATTATGAGAGGCAAAAGCATTACCCATTTCACTGTTGTCTTTGGCACCATCAGTACAGGACAAACTTTTCTCCCATTCTCCAAAACCATTTATGTTATACAATATCCTTATTGCTACTACCAGAATTGACATAACACATACATGAGTCGGTACCCTAAAATAATTTGAGGATAAGGATAACCACAAATCTGGAGGCATTGACCATTCATATATACGGCATGCATAAGGAAGAATCTTTTCAACAGGAAGTGATAATATTTGAAGATAACGATAAGCTATTGCATAAAAGTTTACAGGAGGTAACTCCAAGCCTATGAACTGAGCAATGGATGCAGCAAATGACTCTAACTTCTGTATCTGAACAGCTCGCTGAGGCCTGAACATAACACTTGAACTAATAGGACATGCACTTGACGGGTGTCCCATGCGCTTTTCAATTTCCACAAAAGCAGAAAAATATGGAAGCTTCCCTTCACGTGTCCATTTCATCATGTTGGACGGCAGGATAGCTTCCCTGGCAACATGACATGCCAGAAATGAAACAGCAATAGTACAAGCTAGTGGAATTCTCTTCTTTAAAGACCTAAACCAAATCATCACAGCTCGCTGACCAAATATGTTGTGGGGTTCTGATTTGTATTGAGCACGCAGCTTGTAATCTCCTGGTTCATCTGATAGTGAAGAAGTAAACTTAGTAAACTACAAGATATTCTTGATGAAAATAAGGAATCTTACAAGTGCTGAAAAAAAAAAAAAACTATAGTACACACTTGATAAACATGAAGATTCAGGATCAAATTTTCAAGCTCATCATTTCATCTTAGTGGTCACACAATAAATTTAATATTTAAGAGGTCAAATCATAGCTTAATGAATACCCAATTGAGTCGCGACTAATCTTATATGAGATTCCAGTGAGAATAAAATTTTCAGTTAATCAACAGGTTTTACAAAACTTTAATAGAAACAGAAAACATTTAGTGAACCTTTCATGAACAAGACACAAGTAATGTCCCACATATGTCACAAGCACACAAACCAAGAATTGGAACATTATGTTCAATCCTTAACCAGGAAAATTAATTAACACCTACAATGAGAAACTGACTGAAGTATACAAAAACCAAACCATGCAACGAACAGGGGAACACGTATTGCAATGTGAATGTAGAAATATAGGGAAGGAGACTTCATGTTACCTTCGTTCTGCATCTCAGAGTCATGGATTACTTTATCAGGCCAGTCATCATCAAAAACACCAGTCCTGGAGACAAACCTCAGCCAGATTGGCCCAATCAAGCCACATATTAAAGGGGTAACCTTAAACTCCTTCACCAATGCTTCACACTGAAGCTCAATCATCATCTGCAACCCCATCACATACCGCATCCTTATCTCATTGTGGTAGTCTTCAAAGCTTGGAACTTTCAAGCCTCCAAAATCAGCAGGAACAGAAGGACTTGCCTGATCAAACTGAGCATAATCAAATTCCTCGCTTTTAACTTGACCATGATAATCTCGCTGAGGAGTTTCATCTTCTAACCCCAGATTCCTAACGAAATTGGACTGGGAATCATAGAAAGAATCATACTGAGAAATGGGTTCGACTTTGATTGCAACAGATCGCTGGCGTTGGTGACTGGCCAAGTAGACAGCGGCTCCACCAGTTTCTCCTCCCTTATTAAAGATATCATCGTCATCAACAGCGGTGTCAATGACATCCTCGTACTGACAGCCACACCGAAGGCAATAGAAGAAGCCATCAGAACCATCACCAAGACCCACGTTGTTACAGGTTTGACAAGTTAAGTTATTTACATCAACCATTGCCGATAACAAACCTTTTGATCACACTAATTTGGCATAACTCAAGTAAGGAGTGTCTATTGTATGGTTTCGTGGTTCACTGTCACACGGAGAATCAATGAAGCAAAAGAAGGCTATATATTGAAGAGGAAAAGAGCGCGCTGGACTGGACTGGACTGGGCTTTCTTAATAAAATATATTTGGGCCTAAGTTGGGCAACTTAGGGCATCTTAGTGAAAGTTCATCCACTCCCCTTGTCAATTTTTTCTCTTGTCATTGTATATTTTGCATAATTCTCTGCTAGTTTCTTTAGGTCAATTTTTTTTTGTTATAAAGTTAAGCAAAATTAATTTTGATAAAATTAATTTTAAATTATGAAATATAGTTAAAAATGCGTTAAAAGTGTTCTAATTATAATATTTAGAGAGATATTTTTAATTAAAAATATGAATTTTTTTAACCGTAAAACAAACACTGATAGTTAAAGCAGCAAACCGACATAGCATTGTATGGAGGTAAACAAACGGGAGTCTATTATCGGTTTTTGTTGTATCAATGATGCCAAAGTTTTGTGAGTGACATTTTGAGAAAGATCCACATAACACCTTGCCGCGTGTTCACAATGGAACTTTAGGGATAAAGGTAATCTTGGCGCATTTAAAACTTTACGGACGGATTGCCTAGGTGGTCAAACATAGGTGCCAACCCTATATATGTCCGTATTTAATTTGAATATGAAAGTTAAGGCCCAAAGGTTTTGTTTCACATGCTTAAATTTGACTAATTCCTTCATAAACTGGCTCCACTCTTGACTCTAGTGTCCACCGTTCATATCTTGTATGTGCACAAAATTTTGAAACATCCACCATTTGTGTTATATAAAAAATCGTATAAATTGCTATATATATATATAGTCCTTGTTGACTATATCATTTTGTTGATTTCAACGCGAGAGTCATAAAAACGGTGGAATTAAGCACCTCTCATTAGGACATGGGTGGCTAGTAGCAAGTAACAAAAAACGAGTAAGCGTCATTGATTAGGTTAACAAATTACAGACGAGACAGAGACATGACAACTTCGAATGAATCAACCTTTTTTGTTGGGTCAAATGTTTACATAGATCGAACAGCAGCAAATGACTTGCGAATTTTACATGATAAATATTCTATTTTTGGGTGGCAACTTGGTGAAGTGAAGGTGAAGAGTGAAAGAAGAGACAAATTGCCGAAATGTCATCCATGGCAATTCCCCTCCTCTTGCGTGTCCATGCATGCATTGCACACTCCACCAAACGTTTAGCTGATTCTCCTCTGTCTGGTGTTGAAGATACAATATCCACCGCTTCTTGATTGGAGATTACATCCCATACCTACATCACATAGCAAAAATCAATCACGAATCTTTAGCATACTAAACATTCAGCAATATAATCTGTTCATATTACTAACTGTTTCAATACGAATATATTTATTGATTTTATTAAGGTTAGGCCTAAGTCGGCAAAAAGTAGGGTCTTGCAGTGATGGGAAGATTCTCTCTCTCATTGCACTGAATCTATGTGCTATTTATGTAATTAAAACTGATTAATAAAGTATATTTAATATGGATTAAGTATAAAAGTTGGAAGGAGAAGAGTGAGTACCCCATCAGTGGCTAGCACAACAAAGTGGTCTCTGGTGGTTATGTTTCTGTGTGTTACCTCAGGCACTGAAATAAGACCATAGTCTTTGATGCAGTAGTCACCAAAAGCTCTAGACATAGCAAGTCCTGGAGATTCTTCATCCGGCAACCACACCCTGTGCACCCCAGGCTCGTCGTGTAAGCAAAACACCCTTCCTTGGCTCTCAAGTATTCTCTCTGCCTCTTCTGCAAGCATGAAACTCATATTCTAAGATTTTATTAAAAAAGTAATACAATATTAAAAGACTAAAATGAATGAAGGAAAGTTAACGAGCAAGCTAAAAAAAGTTTGAAGACCAAATATTAATGACCATGAAGACACACAATGATGTATATATAGAAACAGACTGAGAATTGAGCAAGACTAACGAGGTAAATTGGGCTTGAAATCTACTGTGAGCTGAACTGCTACCAAACTTGCATCATCTGATGTTGTAGCCAACACAGCACGAGAGTCACCAACATTTGCAATGACAATGAGTTCACCCTGCCCATAAGTTTCACAAACAACTCTCAAGTCTCATCCAATATAGCAAATTTGATTGAGATACGATGACAAGTGGATTCTCTTTGCCCTTTGTTTTTACCTGTCTAACAATTGACAGGGCAGTTGTTCCGCTGAAAAATGAATCTATCTTGCGATTTTGCTTTAATTCTCTATCAACAGCAGTACAAGTCTTCAAATATGAATGCTTCCATATATTGAATCGGTGTTGCTTTTTCTCTTTCTCAATGTCAATATCTGGATCAAGTGAAGTTTGTGAGAGTGTCTCCTGCCAGTTGCATAGCAAAGATTGTGGCATTAACTCTCTTACTCTTTTAGCCACAAAGTGACCCCATGGCCCGTGCCCATCAAAAATCCCACAGAAAATCATGTCCTCTTGGCACCCAAATTCCTATAACCAACATCAACAAAAACCATTCTCATAAACACAAATAATAAATGTTATTATAGCAGCAATTTTGATGTAATTTCCCTATTGATTTAAAGAAAAATATTGCTAAATAAGAGTGTTCAATATTATTATATGGAAAGAAAATATTTTATATTGATATTTGATACATACTTCCCACACTAGGCAGCAATCCTGATTCACTCCTTTCTGGCCTTTTTTGGAGAAAACCGAGGCAAAGTTGTTTGAACCATCAACACTAACGGTGCCTGAGCTATGCAGTAAGAAGTGATTCTTTTTGGCTTCCTTTGCCATTGCTTCCGCAGCTTCTCTCCCACTACATCTACCAGAATTCCTTCTTTTCTTCATTGCAAACGACTTTGCCAACCCATTGAACACAGACGAAAAATGGCCCATCATGCATCAACACTGCAAGATGATTCCACCACTCAATTAACGCTGCTTAGAGCCTTTTTGTATGCGGTACAGAATCTGGACATTGAAAATTTATAACGGTTTAGCATGAGTTTCATCATTTTTTTTAAATTTGTATCTTCCTCTTCTTTAGTATGATAAAATGAAGAGAGAAACAAGTGTGTGCGCGCTGCGTGGGCGAACAAAAAGACAATTTCTGACTCAGAAAGCTGAGGACTCATTCAGAAAAAGCCAGTCCTGAAACAGCTTACTGAGAAGATTCAGAATTTCTGACTCAGAAAGCTGAGGACTCATTCAGAAAAAAGACAAGTCCTGAAACAGCTTACTGAGAAGATTCATTCCTGTTCTGAATTCCAGCATTACATCTATGGAGGGGAATGAAAATTGAAAAAGTACACCTCATATATGTGTATGTGAAGAAAGCATGGACAAAAGAAAACTTGAGCCCAGCAAGTCGATTTTAAAACTACGATCATGTCATGCCGTTGATTCAAGCTAAAAGAAAAGAAATCAGATAAAAATCTTAATATCCCATTGCTTTCCTCCTTTGCCTTAAAAAATCAATAGGGTGGGCCATACTTTCATTTTCCAGAAAACATACCAAAAATAGGGGGAAAAGTTAATTTTTGAGTATACAAAAGTCTGATCAGGGGAATTGTTTATTTGTAACTCAATTGGGACCCCAAAAAAAAATTGATTTTTTTTCTGCCTTGCTTTTTCTTAGATTGGATGTTTCATGCCATGTAAAAGAAACATTTTGTATTGATATTTCCCAGTTTGCTGAATAAAATAAGAGATTCTGCATATGGGACCTTGGAAAACCAAATTTCCAGGAAGCATATCTCAAAACCCATATACTGGCTAATGTTTAAATAACATTTTCCTATTTTTTGAAGAAAAAAAGTTCAGGACTTTGTAACCCCCCATTCCACCAAAAATCGTCAAAAGCCAGAACAGAAACATCTAAGGAAAAAGAACAGAAAAAAGCTGGTTAAGTTCCTGATCCAATTCGGAAGCCCCATATCCCTATCTTTGATCTGAAATGGATTCAAGATAAGATAACAAAGTCTTTTAACAAGTGAAACAAACAAGAAGAAATGGAATGGATGCAAGACCTTGGACTTTAGAAGGAGGAACTAGAGAGGCAGTAGCAGGAGGATAAGTTGTGGTGGCCTGAAGAATAGGATGCATTTCCGACAAGACCAGCTGAAACTTCGAGAAAACAAAGGTGTAGAAGGACCGGTAGCCCTCTCTGAGTGTTGTTTGTTTGGTTCTGGTTTCTTCAGTTACCTCCTATCTACGGAGACGAAAACAAAGGCAGTTTTTTTCTGTGCATACAATTAGATGCAAACAAATAGACCCACTCAGTGCATGTAAATTTCTACATATGAAGGTTCAAGTGAATGTAACTAAAGCTAAAGTTATATCAATCTCTCTCTTCTCTTGACTTTGTTCAAATCAAGGGTAGTGCTGTCTTCTTGTTTTGCCAAAAATGGAACTCTATTAAGCCAGGTTCCATGTGACAGTTATAAAGGGAGAAAATAAAACATTACCATTTTTTACTTTTGCCTTAAATTGCATATGATGAATTGAATTATATATGATTTGTGATGCCTTAAGTTTATTTAACAATTATTCTTTGCTTCATGCGTTTCAGGAGAGTATAAAAAAATTATATATTTTTTTAAAAGTATCAACAAATTTATAAGAGGTTTTATTATTTTATTAAAAAAAATCTTCGGAGCTCATATTATTGCTTTATAGTTTATACATGAATATGAAAACGAGGATAAAATGTGCATAAATATACAAGTCTTCATGTGTATGTATCAGCTTGTTTGTTTGTTTATCATGAGCATAAATGTATTTAGGATTTTATTGAGTTGGCATGTGCTTTTCCCCCACATATAGGAACTCAGGAAGATGGATAAATAAACGTTATAAACAATGTCAAGGTTGCATTCTATTCATAATCAGAACTCAGAAGATTTTCATTAATTGTTTGGCTGGCTCATCATATATATATTACTAACAATACTCTCTTTGTATAAAAACCTCAGCATCAATCTCAACTATTAGATAAAAGGTCAAAAATGAATCATATAAGTTATTTAAACGATAAAATATTTGTTCAAGGATGAACCTCGATACTTTTATTATCTCAAGGAAAAAAATTAACATTAAGAGGAAAATGAGAGGTCGTTTTCTGGGTATGGAAAAAATATTTCTTTTGCTAATTGATATTAACTAATAGTTCGTAACATGTTTATATTTATTAATAATACACGACTTTTTATTAAAATATAATTAATTATTGTAAGCACTAAGCTGTCTGTGTAATATATTTTGATAGTCATTTTTGCACTAACAAAACACTATTTAATATACTTTTTTAATTGATCAATTATTTTTAAAAAAAATCGCATTTATCTTCAAATTAATTTTAAAAAAAAAAGATAATTAATCACAAAAATTAAATGAAAATATGTTACTAATATCTCTTTAAGAATAATATGGGTAGCAATAATAACTTAATATATATTTCACCATCGTTGAATAGCATGCTTTTATGGACCATTTCTAACCAAAAACTTGATTTAAAATTATAATCTGATTAATAATCGACACAAATCAACGTAGAACTATGTAGAGCAGTCGGTGGCGGGGATTAGATAAAAAAAATAAATGGTGATGCTATGGCATGAGAACGAAGAGTTTCAACAAGAAGATTATACACATACAGTGGCACAATTTAAGAGCTATGAGCATATTAAAAAAAAAGATTTTGTTAATCTTATTTCTTAAAGTTAAGTTTAAACATACATATATAAAAAAATTATAAAAAAAATACATATTTATGTATTAAAGTTATAAAAATAAAAAAATATTTTTCTTTCTAATAAAATTTTACTATTATTAATTACTTATCCTCAGTTTTTAATAAAATCTTTAAAAAAAAGTTATTGAAACATTTTAATGATAAGAAACTAACTTATGAAGCAAAAATGGAATAAATAGTTTCAAATCGCTTCATAAAATATTATTAATTTATTGAGTTATGATGATTCTAGCAGCTTTCTCTTACATTATAAATTTAAAGCTTTTATTTATAATAAAGAATACTTTTAAAAATTATACTTGATGTTCGTTTAGTTTGTAATAAAAAATTAGGGTATGTTTATTTGAAATTTTTAAAAGAGTTTTCTCTTTTTAAAAACTAAAATACATATTTCAGTTTTTAAAAAGGAAAAAATATTTTAAAAATTACAAATAAATGTACTTTTAGTTTTTATATTTTAATTAAAAAATCACGGCTAATGTTAATTTTAACACATACACTAATTCCATTCAAAAGTTTATTTATTTTTTTAATTTTAAAACGACTAGAACATTAATATCATAAAGTCACACAACTTTTGTTGCATTAATTATTTAATTGTTTTATCTTAATTTTTTTATTTTAAGTATTATTTTAAATTTTGGACTTTAAATTGCCACATCAATAAAGATAATATCTCTTAATTTTAGAATTTTATTTTTTCTCAATTTTAATTATACTAGTTATTTAATTTTTCTTATTTTATATTAATATAATAAATATTTATTCTTAACATTGTACATACTAAATAATTTTGTTAACCAATTTATTCATGCAATGGACGAAATATTAGTTATAAAAAATTACTCTTCAATATGGGTTACTAAATCAACTCTTATATCATAAATTTAAATATTTTATTCTTAAACATGATCGTATTTTTTATTACTCTCTTTAGTGACAATTAAATTTTATGTTATGTAAAATTGTTTTAAAATAATTTAATTTGTTAAATATTTTTAAAATCTTAACTCTTAACTCTTAATTTTTATTATTTTTATACCTTTTTTCCGTCTAAAATATTGATTTTTAATTCTACCATATTTTTATGTTAAGTGAAAAACACTAGCACAATTGAATTTTTTTAATATTTTAAAAATAATTATTAAAATAATATTATCTTTAAATAAATTTTTTGTATAAAATAAAATTTTCACATCATAATCGATTTCACATCTTCTAGATGTAAAATTTATTTATTATAAAAAGTTTTGCATGTTAAAAAGAGAAATTTATTTTATTAAAGAAATTTTGTATATTAAAGGAATAAAACTTATTTTTTATTTAAAATTTTTATAAAAATACAAAAATTTCAGCATCTGTCTACATCCCTACATTGTGCGTTAAATCGAGTGCTAATTTCTGTAACAAAAGTTAAATCAACATCAATTCTTAACTCTTCTATCTTCTAACTTCTAACTTTCCTTTTCACTTGAGGTTAGAAATTTCAAACAATTTTAATTTATGCCATAATTTTTGTTTTAGTTTTTTAATTCACCAAACTTTTAAAGAAAACAAAATAAATTTTGCCCCTTTGAATAGATAAAATTTCTTTAAAAAATAAAAACATTTCATCTTTTTAGTATAAGAAACTCTTTATAAAAAAATAAATTTTGTAATTACAAAGTGCACAACTTATACTAAAATGATAAAAATATTTTTAAAAAATTATTTTAATAATTTATTTGTAAAATTATTACTTGATAAAGCGCTTTATTAGTGTTTATGATTTGAAAAAGAAATAAAAAAACTTATTTTATTTTTCTTAAAGTCAAATTGAACCTTATTTGTCATTGTTTTCGAGTTAAGACATATGTTAACAATAATATTATTTGTTTAAAAATTAATTAAATTATGATTTTTTATTTTTGAATTCTTCCTTCCAACGATTCTTTATTGCAACACTTTGTTAATTTGGATAAATTAAAATAAAAAGGAAAAGTAAAGAGAATTACAAGAGAAAAATTGAACTTCATTTGTTATTGTGTTATGTTTATTAGTTTCTTGCATTATTATTATTTGATCTATCTTGTACGCATATAACTAATTTGCATTTACACGGTCTCAATTGCGTTAATTATTAGTTTGTCTTATCCATCATCTTCTTGCATACTTGTTTATATTATATGCTACTCTTTATTATTATTATTTTTCCTTTATTTTGAGGTTAACAAAATGTTTTCTCTAATTTAAAGTAATAAAATAATTTTATCTTTTTTCTGTTGCACTTGCACTTGTAAATGATCAATTATAATTGAATTTCAATTAATAACATATCTATAAAGAAGTTTAATAACCTATTGAAAGTCTTAATACAAAAGAGGTCATTAAAGAGATTAATAGGCCAAAGTAGAGTTTTAAAAAGGTCAGACTAAGTTTAATAAAAAAAATCTATGACATACAATAGGTCAAATTTAAGTTTCAAAAGTATTAAATAGATCAAGTCTATTTATGCAAAGTCTAACTCAGCCCAACCTATTTTCATTCTTAATCATAAGGGTATTGTCCTTTATCAAAGAAAATATGCTCTAAATTTACTGCAAGATACAAGATTACTTGTTGTTAAGGCTTGTACAACTCTAATGGATTATAATAATAAATTACACATACAGTGTAGTCATTTACTGTCTAATCCTTCTTCATACAAAATATTAATTGGAAGACTTTTATTTTTGATATATATCAAGCCGGACATCAATTTTATCATTAGTCAACTCAGTCAATTTTTTGATCGTCCAACAAATATTCATTAATAAGCAACCATTCAAGTCCTTATATACATCAAATAAGCTGTAGAACAAGGACTTTTCTCTCCTAGTAATTGTGAAGTGAAACTCACAAGTTTTCTAACTTTGATGTTCCAAGACATGTAGGTTTAATTTAGGTTTTTTTCTTCTTCTTAGGATTATCACTCATATCATGGGAAAGAGAAAGCAAGCCATTGTCTCTCTCTCATCTTTAGAAATTGAATATAGAGCCTTAACTCAGGCTACTTGTGAAGTTTAGCAATATATCTGTATTTTGACATGTTTTTATAGCTTATATACTGATGAATGATCATTATTTTATTTGAGTTTTGTACTAATTTCTATGATTATTGTGTATATTAATATGAGAAGGCCACAATTAGATTTTTGGTGCATCTTAAGCTTAAATTGGTTGAAAAATACAGTTTCGCTACGATTAGCATGCTCAGACCCTAACAACTAGTACAAGAGTGCTTCGACCACATTCACGACTGTGCTTATGGCCTTGCACGATTGTGCTTATCTACGGGAAGCCTTCAACCACATGCACGATTATATTTATGGCCTTGTACGACCGTGCTTATCTGTAGGAAGTCTAACTTGAAGAAATTTGAAGGTTTTCAAACTCTATTAAAAGAGATCTCGAGGGCAACGATTTAGCATTGTGTTTCTCATCTTGTTTTCATCTCATTCATCCTCTCCTTTTACACATCCTTTTAACAATTTTGCTCTAGATCATTGGCATATTCTTAGAAAACTTGGAGCTTTGAACAATCGTATTCGAAGATCGAGAACTCTTCTTATCCCTAATCCTTGAGGATAATCTAGTTTGCTATTTTCTTTCAACTATAGATTTGTTTATAATTGTTTTAGTTTT